GATATATTCGTTTTCGAAAAAAAAAAAACCAATGATCTAATCACTACTAGATGATCCATTTATTCTCATGATAATAACACTGATATTGTGTTCCAAATGAAATTTTGTTCACTCTATCTCTCTTTTTTTAAACTTTTTTGAAAAAAAAAAATACTCATCACACTTTATTCAATACCAAAGAAAACAGTTACAAAGTAAATAAATGCATAAAATAAAGAAAAAAATAAAATTGCATACCTGCATTGAGCTACCGCGTATCGAGTACTACGAACTTCTCTTTACGGAGGTTCGGTTGATACTGTTGGCGAAATTATTAGGAAGTGGTGACAACTCGGGTAACGTACTCAGGTCACCTTGGTGGCGTCGTTGACGAGCCGCCGGGATGAAAATAATGGCTGGCACAAGAACATATTTTCAATCGTATCATAGGCTTTTCTCGGGTAATACTGAAATTCATTTCAAATTGTTACAACGATGTAATAAATTCTTTATTTTCATTCGCCGGTATTTTATCTTCCCAATAAGTTCATTTACAAACGTATATACCTATTCATGGATTTACACAGTACTTTATTTAAGCGATTTCGCTTTTACATTGTTTTCGAAATAACGATTAAAAAAAACTGTTAAGAATAAACAATTTTGCTTTACACATATTTTTATAAAGTCAATTTTTAATTCCATTTGGTTAATAACAGTAGTATTAAATCTAAAAAGAAGAGTATTAGTTTTTGTATACATTCAGAAACCATTCATGTGAATTTAACGCAGCAAATCTCAGTAAATCTTTAGCAGATAATTGGTGTGTATTGTTATTCTTTTTTTAATCGGAATATTTGTAAACTTTATGTTTATGCATATAGCTTTTTTAGCACTTTTGTAATTAACTTAACACTTTGCCGGCTGTTGTCACGTATACGTTATTTTTTTTGCCAACCGTTATCGGCCGCTGTCACGTACGCGTGACTTTTTTTTCTCCAGCGTGAATCTCGAGAAATATGCGGAAGGTAAAGTGTTAACATTTTATAGATTTTATTGTACAATTCGTAAAAAAAGGATGGACGCTGGACGAATTGGACCAGGACTCGAACCCGAATCTTTCGCTTTCCGGGAGAAAGCTCTTATCTAGTGAGTTATCCAAGGCCTACCGACTTATCCTTCTTCATGAATGCTTAATAAGTTTGGCATGAAGGCGTTCGTCCCACATTCCATCCCCCTACAACAACAAGCCACTATCGGCTAACCCCTTCTTGAAAAACCCTTTATTTTTGTAGGGAGTAAAGCGTAACTCCCTACTTACTCCGACAGATAGCGCAGCAGTCGTCGCTGCCAACCGCTTTAGCAGCAAGATGTACTAGGGGAATTTTATCCGAGTCACTCTTGACAGACTAAATAAATAAGCAGTATAACAACAGAAGTTGAGACGGCAAGATAAATAAAGATACTACTCCTAAACCATGTGTGAAATTCATTTTGTCCATTTCTCCGCACGTAGGATAATACATACATTTTTAATTAATTTTTCTCATGTTGTAAAATTGTAGAATATGTTACAAAACAAACCTCCATCCTGGACGAGCCCTCAATTCGTCCCATATTATTATACAAAAAGAAATTTAAAAGAAAAAACAGGTAAGAAAAGAAGTTCTCTATTTATAAATACAAATAACAATTTTAATCGTCTACGTAATGGAAATAGCAATACATAATGTTAAAAAATATTCCATGAATGAAGCCACAATAAAAATTATAAGAAATAATAAAAATTCTATTAGAAAAAGTGTAGTAACTGGAACTTGTATGAGTATGAACTTCATATATAAGGAATATTACAATTGAAAAAATTAATGAAATATGTAACTGGCTAAATTATGCACATTTTGATTTACACAGTTTTACATATAAAAAAATAACTATTTCGATTTATACAGTATTACAAGAAATCGATCTTCTGTTTAAATCGAAAGACAGGTGTATTTCTATAAACACAAATGGATGTCAACAAGCTTATAGTTACATTTAATATGCATAAAAACATGGATTCGAAAATAGAACATGTGCATATGTTGTTTCGTTTCATTATTTATTTACTATATTTAACATTTGTTCGTTATTGTTACGAAAGTATCTTTTTTTATTTGGATTGTTTGAAATTATTTTGCGTCACGTAAATTATCTGATCGAAAAATCGAACAATTCAAAATTTGTAATGATTTAACATATAATGAAGTTTCATATAAAATTTAATAATTCAGGATCGTCATATATATTCTACTTCGTGAATGTAAACATAAAGATTATTTGCATAAAGAAGATATCAATTATTTTATCTACGTACTACGATAAAAGCGCTAAAAATAACAGAGAAATTTTAAAATATCGAATTGAAAGAGCTCAAATTTTAAACAATTATTTGAAATTTAATCACTTTGACTTTACACCATTTATATTTGTATGATTTTATTTACAAATAGGATTTTTTCTGTTACTTGTGTACTTATTTATATATACCGGGAATATCTAATTGTAAGAGAGAAATATTTATACGAACGCGAAAATTCAAACAATCGATTTGAAATAATACAAAATGATAACCATCACAAATAAACGTAATTAAAATTATTAAAATTGTCTAATTAACTATGTCATGGTAAAATAAATATTGAATATTTTGTAAGTAGAGAGAGAAAGAGAGAGAGGAATAACGGATGTAAAAAGGTTGAATGTGAACTGTAAAAATAAACGGAACGACATTGTTTCATTACACGTGGATACACATGTATTTACGTACTATTTTTTATTCATACTCGGTAGGCTTCACAACACACTGATTATAAAAAAAAAAAAAAAAAAAAAAAAAAAAAGAAAAAAGGAACTACAGACGTAGCGTCACAAACAAGAGTATCTTTGTCACCCGAGCAAATATCATTAATTTAACATTGAAAATCATGTATGTAAATATGATGTACGTTGAATTGTAGTGCATATTTTTCTATACTAAAATCCTAAAAACAGTTTTGTCTTTTAACACATTGTTACATCGTAAATCAACGCGTTTTTGAATCTATGAGATCCCTATTACATTCAGTAAATATTTCACCGATGTTGATTGTTCCATAATCAACGGCTTTAGTATTCCGGAAAACTTGGAGAAAAAACGGAAGAAAAAATATCGTTGGTTTCGTCTCTAAAAATTAAACGTGGAATGGATTCCGAAGGCGTATTGTTACACGAATAAGTATATTTATTTACAATGACTGCGATTAATGAATTACGAACCCGTTTTCAAATCACTTTCTGCATTAATACACTCTTATGTATATATACAGTTATTTATAAATACATCTATATTTTTTTTGAGGCCATCGATATTGTCAAGTTGAAATTGTCATTTTAAGCAACTAAAAACGCTTCAATAAGGCATAATTTGTGTCTCCATGAAAAACTATGCTGTAATTCTTTGTTATATAATGTATGAATTTATATATGATAGAATAAGAAGCATTGTCAAGGCACAAATACGGGCGGCATATATGCTATGCTAATTCTAACACAATAAATAGACAATTTCTTCCACGCATCTTTAATTTACATACTTTCAAATTGTAAGGCTTATTAATATACTTTTATAAGAATAATGCAGATGATTTGTAATCGGGTCTTACAAAAGAATTCAATGTATATATATATGTGTTTCAATTGATAAAGTAATTGAGAGAGTTGCAAGAATGTAATTTAAAACTCTTAGTATACAGTATGGTGCGATAATTATACATACATGTTGCGACGAAGCATCGTGTGCTCATTTCAATTGCTTGAAGCTCAATACACATAAACGTATGTTCAAATCTCTTATAATATTTAATCGATATTCTTTATGAATATAATTCATCCTTAAGAACTTCTGTTAGCGTCAAGGCTTAACAGGCAATTGCATGAAAATGTAAGGCAAATAAGATTGTATCTAGTATTGTTGGCGAAAGTATTCTTGTAATTACCGATTATTGTCACGATCTCTTGTATAACTTTCGTTATGAAAATCTTGTATATTTCAGTCTCTCTTATCATTTTTTGTTTCGTTATCTTGGCAAATTTTTTTAATTGTTGATCTCCCGATCGTAATTTGCTAATTTTGGTAGCAAAGAATCACAGCTAGACACATCGGCAAACGAGTGTTATTTAACAAGCGGCAGTGACTTCTGTTTCACGGTCGTACAATATTCTTACTTTAACTCATGTAACATCTGATTTTTCCTAAACTTATAATTAAAAAGTACATTAGAATATACATAAAAGGTAATAGCAGTTCATAAGCCAGAAATACGTTTGAATCTATATCGGAATACAAACATAATTAAGTATATGTCATTCTTAAATGAACCTTAATATTAATCACGTATACCTTGATTAAAAGACATAAAAGGAAATTATTTGTCATTAAACATTTCTATAAAAAAAAAATCGCCTATATATACCGACACATTTGTAGCACGACTTTTACATAATGCAAGATATTTCTTAAATATATTCAAAGTTCAAAGTTTTCTATTTCTATTGCACTTTCATTAATTATTCGTACGACATTCCTGGCTCGTTATATAATAATAAATGAAAGGAGCTTATTATAAATATTTAACATTAAAAGATTATTTATTTAAAGTTAGAATTCCCTTTTCTCAAAAAGAAAAGAAGAATGTTGTAAAAATTAATTTCTTTCATTTTATTAATCATAAACTATACTGCATTATTTCAAAAGACACTTTTACTATAACGTTATATTATATTGTTATATCAAGAAATATATTTTATACTTAAAATTTATATAAATACTGCATAATATTAACCCTCTAAGTTCTTCATCGTAAATCATACTGTGGAACCAAATGTCACTATATTGGCTTTCGACCAAGTCACTTTTAAGCTTATCTCTCTTATTATTTTCATTATTTAAAAAGTAATGTGCATTACATAAATAATGGAAAATGTCATTCTTTGCTTTGATAAAAGTTTCTCTCGATAAACATTCTTTTCTAAGAATTTATTTATGTTTATATATACACGATAGAAAATATCGCCGTACTAGCGACGCAGTCTCGTTGTAACTAGAAGGTTAAATTTATATTAAAAAAATTACTAAATAAACATTTAAGGATTAATGAAGTATACAAAAAGTTCTATATGTTTATTACATTCTTCATTACTTTGTAAAGGGAAATCTTACTTTTAAAAATATTATTTAATTCATTATCGAGTTATGGTCAATACATGATCAACATAGCATGGCATACATAAAATGTTAAGGAAGCTTGCACAAAAAGTAATCCTTTAAAGCTGGATTACTTAATTTAAAATATCAAGAGATTATTGGATGCAGTTAACTTTCAAATGTCAACGTGAGATCAGCATCCAGCATTTTATACCGAAGTATCAATTATATTATTATCAGTAATGACAAAAATTAATAATTCTTATTTCATGATTATGATTATAATGATAAGTTTGGATAATCTAATCCTTGTTTAGGTATAAGTTGTAATTTTAAAGCACGCATAATTATACTTCAAAGGACTGGACATTAGAGTATTATATATTTAATGTATAACTTTCGTACGATAGGCACCAATTTTAGAGCCAAATATGAATTTCTGATTTTAATCTCTACTCCTATATTTATACATATATATAGTTATAGGGGTATTTATATATGTATATATCATCTTTCAGAAGGATAAAGTGATGCACGATTGACCCAACTCAGATTTCCCCTTCATTTTGACCCCTCCACCACCCTCCACCACGAATCGTACCAATTTAGTCAATATTCTAAGGAGATTTTTCAATCTATACCTGTTTGGGGAGATCGAGGTAGGAGACAATCTAGTTGTTGTAGTTTGTGATATGATTGCATTGACCCAGACCGATGAAGGCGAAATTTGGCCCAATAGGACTCGAACCGCCATGGAATTCTATACTCCTAATAAATCATGCGGTGACCAAATCAGTCAATTAACGGTTAGTGTTCTTCACAAATGTCTAAGAGGTCTCCCTCAAATGAGATAGGAGGCTCAGAGCAACTCAAACGATAGATGAACCAAGTCCTTTTAAGGATAGATTCCACTGGGGCAGCCTTCACAGAGGAAACAGAATTAATCAGACTTGGATCTTTTTTGGCACTAACTCTGTGTAGAAGCGCCACGAAGAACAAAAAACAGATGGTGAATGCCTTTATAAAAAACCAATATAGAAGAAATCTTGCTTCTCTTGCCCAATAGCCCTCAAGCAATCCCTTCTCTCCCCCATGTGTCTCGTCCGTTGTAAAGTAGAACTTAAAAAGAGCTTAAAGACTACGAGTCAGATCTTTACCATCTTAGCTCATGAGTTTGTATTGTCAATAGGTAAAGATTATCATAATTGTTTTGCTCGAAGCTTCTTATCAGCTGCAGTTCTTACCCACACCGCAAAGAATGGTTTAGGTATCCTTCATGCATTGGAAAATGTTTACTCATGTATATCAATCGCAGGATTCTTCCAGGACCAACTGACGGTAGATATCATGAAATATAATTACAACTGGGCAAGGATTATCTATCATAGATATTTGAGAGGGCTTTTTCAGAAGAAAACTCGTTTCTAGCGACTGTATTTGCAACAATGGTAGAGCAAGTTCAGAGAGTTAGGGTGTGGGATGCCGAATGGGTAAAGATGTGTGTAGATTCACCGGACACGAAGATTTTAGGGCGATTGTTATATGAGAAGTGTAAGCCGTCCTTGGATCAAATAATTGGATTTGGACTCTCTGGTATATTTGTTGAAGGAAACCAGAAAGAAACAGAGGAAACACAGGAAAAGAAATCAGTTATTTGACGAAGCTTTCGACGAGGCTTTTGAAAATGCTGCTGCCGAGGAGTAGAAGATTGATGAAAGTATAGATGAATCCTAGGCATTATCGAGATCTCATCGGATGACATGAATCTTGTGATCATAATATAGATTAAGAAAAAGAAAAGGTCGGAAAAATTGTAACTTATTTTGATGTGAATGGAATTTCAAATAGAATAATATCTAATGTATTTTACGTTAAAAAGTGTAAAAAAGTATATTGTAGTGAACGATTGAAATAAAGATGTTGGAATAAAAACTCGGAAAATTTAACAGCTATACATTAATTAAAATGATTTGAAATCAGGTTTTAACATATTTAGCTCTAAAAATAAGGTATTTTTATTGATTTAGGAAATTACTTTCTTCTATCACTCGATAGATAACTTGTGCTTAAACTTCAATTTCTTATATCATTCTTGTATTGTCCCTTAAGATCGTCTAGAAAAGCACTTGCAGTATGCTACTAGCCAATATCTTCAGAACAATTTCCCATATAAAATAAAATATTATGACTGTTGAATAGATTTGAAAAATATTCCTCATATGTGTATATAAGATATCCTATTTCTAGTATAATTATTTCCATGTATAACAGCCCAAATGTGGTATAACTCTGAACATATACCACATTATCTGAGAAATTTTTATATTCCAACAATTACTCTTTATCTATCTAATTTCTTTTAATTATTCATTTCATTAAAAATATTCCTTAAACATTTTTAAACCTTTACACTCGATAGTTCTTTTTATTAAAGTGAATTAACAACTCGAAACGGCTTTACAAATATTTGACAAATCTTATACAGCTTATTTAGAATAAGTTGATACTAATCTTTACATCTTAAAAAAAAAAAACAATTTATTAAATATTATTCTCTATGTTCCTTGTTTGTGCAGTATTTTCTAACATAATGATCAAGACTCAATTTGTCAGAACAGATCGTAATAAAATTTTATTTTGTTTTCCACAAGGTTTATTTCATTGAGAGCAAATCTTGAAACCTTTCTTATGTTAAACGAACAAAAAACTTTCTATTTAAACAAATTTTATCGACACAATTTTGTTGATAAAAAAAAAACCTAATTTTTTACATACTACAGACATTGTACATTCGCCCGTAGTATCACTATCATAATTCATACATTTTAGTATAAACGAATACCGTCACTGCTTAGTCACTACTCAAATTAATGGATCAAATCAAGTATCCCTGGAGACACTTCTCGAGTGTAAAGGGTCAAATATGCTAAAATAAAACATGTCACAATAAATGATCATCTTTGATACTTACACCTAAACCATCCACTTTCCTGAAAATACTATCTATTGTACAATCCACATAATATATGTTTCCGCACTAAAACTCACTTATCTATTACCACTAGTGGTTCTTCCTGCTTATATTATCAATCTGTATATGATTTATGACACAGAACTTATAGCATTATGTGGTGAACCCATTTGTGTTAGCACCTTATCCAACCATTGCAAAGGTCCATGTAAATGTGCTTCTATCCAACAAGGTGTAGATGTAACATCTTGTCGGTGATACTCAGCACCCCATCCTTTTACAAAAGACATTCTAAAAAATTAAGAAGGTGAAAAAAATGCCAAATTATTAGTAAAAAGGTGAAATAATGAAAATATAAGCATACCTTATTGTACACATTTTTGTTAACTCATAAACAGCTTCAAAGCCATGATTAACACTTTGTGACAACAATTGAGCAAATTCTTGATTATTAAATATTTTAAGCGAGCATCCAGGAGGAATTTTACAAACTGTACTAGGATGAAAACCATGATGATGATTACAATTTCTAGATTGAACAAATATAGCTGAATCTGAAAGACATTCTGCATAAACTTCTCCACCAACATAGTAGAGATGCACTCCTTTTCCAATGTGTCTTCTAGTATTTTCTATAGTAGAATTTCGATTTACATTGGACAACTGACCCAAACAAAAGCGATCAGAGTTATTACTTGGATTCGTAAAACCATCTACTATAACAGAATGAGACTGACAATGAAAAACTTCTCCTACTCTACAGTTTAATTCATAATATGCGATAGATGCCCAATATGGTGGTTCTTGATAACACACTGGTGCTACTTCGGCAGGACCACTTGTGTCCATTGGGACTGAATCTGGTTGAGGAGATTGACCTGGTTGAGAACCATCTTCCGGAGGAGAATATGCCGGAGGTGGTGTCTCTGGTAATCCATTTGTACCATAAGGACTTTGTGGATTCGGCGAAGTAGTACTTCCTGGACTAGGTACAGAACTGACAGAAGACATAGGAGATGTTGGATTTACACCACCGGTAGAACTTGCGTTAAAGCCACTGGATGAATAAGATACATTGTGCGGCATGGTTGGCTCTGCTAATTGTTGAAATGGTAGAAGAGAATGTCCAGGAGCATATTCTGAATGTCTTGGAACAAGTACTGGTGGAAGTACAGGACTTTCCACTCTTTTGTAATGATAAGGATTAATGCAAACTTCTTTTTGCTTAGCAGAAAATGGATATTGACACACTTCAAGCGGTTTCAATTCATGATGAGATTGTAAATCTGGCCATCTCCATACCCGACAATAAATTACATGCGGTAATCCTTTGCGATGGGATACTTGTAATCTACCATCTAAGCTTCTTGGTATCGTTACACATTTACTAGGTGTGCCAGGGCAACTTAAGGCCCTTTCCAATTCCTCTATAGCACCTTTCCTTTTTTTCAATTTTTTTACCAAAGAATCGACTGCCTTCTCAGCCCATTTTTCTTCTTCATCTCCTTGTTTCCAGCCAAGCAATTTTTTTACAGCTGGACTAGTGAAAGAAAACAAACTATTTAATGAAGACATAGGTCCGGAACTTGATGAACCTTCTTCATCATCCATGTTGAAAGTATTTAGATATTAATTAGGCTAATGGTTTTTTATTTAATTCTTTCTCCTAACTACGATCTGTAACAGAATACAATTGAAATATAAATACCACATATAATATTTACAATTTGGTATTTATTAAAATGAAAAAAGTTTATTTTTAAATTCAAAATATTTAATAAATATAAAATATAAATCAGCTAGATACAATGATATAGATGCTGTTAACTGAAGTCAATAATAGTATCAAAGAGGTTAAAAAACTTTATAAATATTATAAATATTGAACTTTTTTTTAGGTTAATCGTGCCTGTCTTTTTGCTTATATTCTATTCTTAAGAAAAAAGCTGTTACTAAAGCTTCTCATGACAAATCGAAACGTATGCTTTTACAAATAAAAAATACATAGAGCTAATTGTAAATTCCAAAAGTTTCTTATTCGTGAAAATTTAACATAACCTAAAATGAAGTTTCTCTTAATAATTGTGAATATGATATAAAACTATCAATAATAGATATAAAAAAAAAGTTAGGTTAGAATTTCGAAATGTTTTCAAGATTACGTTGCCGAAAGAAAAAAAAAAATGTACAAGAATTGAACGCGCGCGCTCACGAAAATGCATTAAAAATTTACATTTATGAAACTCAAATTTTGTACAATAATAGAATAAGTATAGTATGAATATTTACTTACGTATCTAACGCTACCGATTCAGCATCATTGTTTTTACTAAATCTCTCTCCTACTAGGAGTAAATTGACGCCACGCTTTCGCCATCGTGAAATAAGTAAAAGGCGGCTGGAATCGTGTATCGATTCTTTACGCGTTCGAGTTTAGAGCTGATTTAATGGCGCAATGACGATTCTTACGAACTTGATAATCACCTAAGTAAATTTCACATCGATACAATATTATCCGCTTCACAGCATTCTCACTTTTTTTTTCCTCCCGCCCTTCCAATCATTCTTACTCACTCTCTCCCTCACTACCTCTCTTTCTTTCTCTATATTTCTTTCTTTATATCTTTTCTTTCTTTCTCTTTCTCTCTCTCTCTTTCTTTCTCTTTCTCTCTCTCTCTCTCTCTCTCTCCCTCTTTCTCCGTTTTTTTCTTTTCCCTTTCTTTTCCTATCTCTCTTTTTGTCTATAGCTCCCTCCCGCTTGTTTGCACAGCAAAAGAGACAAGGGTATTTCTAAGGAAATTAAAAACAGAGTACTTTCACTCGTCAGTGAGAAGAGAAAGAGTATTATTGTCGATAAATTTTTTTGCCTTTACTTACCACAATCGATTATCGAGATGATTATTGTCGACTTATCTATTCTTTTTCCAAAAATTGTAAAGTTAACAATTCTTATCCCTTAGGCATCTCGTTAGTGCGGATTAAGAGCAAGTAAGAGCGAATGTTTACTCTACAGAGAATGGGACGTCGCATAGCAGCATTATGGCGTTGCTGAACCATCATGGCGACGTGTTTATGAGACTCGCGTTCGCCGTAACTGTTATACCAACAGTCGCATATGTCCATCACATTTCTCTTCCATATCGAAGACTTTTGATATGTCTTCTTGTCTGCATCATTGGAATGCTTATATCATACAAAGGAACTTCTAACCTGCTTGCTTTAGCATTAATCACTACTCTCTGACGCACGTTTACATACTCTCATAGTTACACACAATACATACACCGCGATTCGATATGATAAGAATTAGTCAGTGTACAAAAAAAAAAGCAGAAAAGAACGCAATACTCTTGACTCTAGTTTTTCATCGATAATTTCGATTATTTTTTATGACCTAAATATGTTTTTTTAATCTCTGCAATATATAATTACCAAGCTCTCTATGTATTTGTTTTATGATATCTTTTAAATTCTTTGTATATATTTATATAGTCAGCGTATCGTTCGAGAATCATATATAAAGCGCTGATTGGCGAAGCTGTGAATGAGAGAAGGGTGGGAAATTCGAATAATTGCATTACCGAGAAAAAGATTAGTATTATAAAATTTACTCAATTATGATAGTGTAATGATGACATGGCTAAATTACCTATTCTTCTCTCGTGCTATCATGTTAACAATGTGCAGTTACGTCCTTCTTTCTGAGTAATCTAAAAAATACATATACGCAAATAGTTATGTATCCGTATATCGTATACAAAGGTAAAATTGTAAAACAATTTACCTTAATGCCCGATTAGTCACGATATTAATCATCTATTAGAAATATTACAAAATTATAAATTTTATTTTTCTATTGTAAGAACAGTATACAATTTTATATTTATTTCTTTTTTTTTTATTAATACACATATTGTTTCGTTAATGCTCTTAAAAATTTTGCTTTCCGTATATTTGCTGCTTCTCTCTGGATTTCTTCATTATTATTAGAGTTTAATTCTAACAAACCTATTGTTTTAATCTGAAAATAATTTATTACAATATTAAAATCGAGAAATAAAATTAACTTATTTGTATATATATTAGCGTTACTTTGTAAAATCCGTTAATACGTGAAATGACTAGTTAAACCCTGAAATAACTATATTGATCTATTTAAATATGAAAGAAGGCAGAACTACATACTTTAACTAGGTAATATATGAATTTACATGAGTCGAATAGTTAAAGTATAAAATTAAAATTTAATCCGTACATTAGATTTAATAAAACAGCACAACTAACAGAGAACATTGGTTTTTAAAGTACAAAAACGATAAGAACGAATAGCATTGTTGTAGAAAGAAAAGAAGACTTTAAAGACAAATCAAATTCAATTTCATACTTTGACTACTCGCATCTTGTGAACTCATATATAAAATAATGATATTATTTTAATATTGCATACACATTAATATTATTTAATATTTAATAAAATAATGATATTTTCCCAAATTATTAATATTAGTATATAATAAAATTCTTTTTATTTGCTTTCTCAAAAATGCCTAATTATTTTGGGTAAAACCTAGGGTTTCCACGATTTAACTGAATTATACAATTTAACATTGACATATATTTATCGACTAATACTTACAGCAAGTTGCTTTCTATGATATTCACCCCGTTTAGTATGTAACTGAATAAGATATTCTAATATTGTTGTGTCCCAAATGCAATGATAATACGCATCCATAGCATCTGCTGTTGTACAACTTTTTTGATCACTTCCTGCCATTTTAAATGCTAGAGCATAGTCTACTTCTTCCAAAAATTGACATAATATGGCTGCTTGCGTATAGCATTGCAAATGAGCACAACATTTAATCATTCTTCTATAAACAAGATCATCTATTTGTGTACGTGGTATAGGTTGACTAAAGAAATCACTAGCAACCATTATCGCTTCTAGGTAGTATTTCATTGCACTCTCATAATAGCCTAGAACTATTGAAATATTTTATTATAATAAGTATCATATTATAAAAAAAATATTCCTTTTGTATTATCTATTTATTATATACTTACCAAAGTTAAGATCACCTGTTAATCGCAACCAAAGAATATTAGTGGGGTGATATTTTAACGCTTGCATTAATAATTGAAATAATAATTCTCCAATGTATCTAATATTATAAAAATTGGTACTGCAAATAACATAAACATTGTTAATATACATCCATAATATATGTAGAATAGAATTATAAAAAATATTATTTACTTTAGTACTCCTGCTGGCCAAAGAGTAAGATACTGTGTATGCAATTCTAGACTAGATTCATCGCGTAATACATTGCGTAAACGTGCTAATAGAGAAATAACAACAGTAAGAGCCATTGGTTCACGTAGTCTGTTTAAGGTCCCTAATATACTAGCACTGGCATCTCTTGATGCACTTCCAACAGCAGTACCGCTATTACCACTACTACTTCGTTTTTGTGGTTGATCTCTAGATGCTCCAAAAGCTGTTAAAACTATTTATAAAAATAATTTATAATATTGTTCTAATAAACAAGTAGAATATAATAATTAATTAATTATAGAATGCTTACTCATATCCCATGCTTCTCTAGGAAATTTTCTTGTCCCTTTATACTTAACAATATCTTGACAAACGCTACTAATAGCAGCTGCAAATTCTGTATAACTCCATCGTTTTTCTAAGCTTGTCAGATAATCCCATTCGGACATATTTAATAGAAAAACAGTGCAATATTCAATGATTTCTTGTCTTGGAATAACTTGGTCAGTTGCTTGCAATGAACCAAGACACTGTTTACTTCTTGTAACTAAATTTGGTATATTACCTAAAATAAAATAATATTATGTTATTACAGTCAATTTCATTCATAATTTAAATCACTTTTTTATTTATACTTGCATATGTTTGTTGCTGGCCAAGCATGAAGACACCTCCATATATCAACAAGTAATGATTCCCAATTAATTAATTTAGATAATTTAAAAACTAATGTATTTCCAGACTGTGAATGCTGTTGCACTTCCTTTTCTAAAACAAGTAATAATTCAATAGCTCCTTCAAAGTCTTTAGATATTACTAATTCTCTGCTTTTAGCCAAAAGAACGTATGAGTAATCTTGAAGAAATCCTCGAGGAAGAGACATTACAACACTTTGTAACGGTATAGGTAATTCCCAATAATTGTTTATGTGCCATGATGGCTTCATACGACGTTTGCTATCCAAGAGTAATAAAGTCTCACGAATTTCTTGACAATCATAAGACTGTATGAGTTTCTGTTCTAATTCAAAAATTTCTATTCTCGTATTATCTATAAATCAAATTTATATTAATTTTTTTAATAAGTATTTATATACGTATAACATTTGCTTGTACTTTTAGATGTTAAATATTTACATGCAGATCTCATAGGTGGAATGCCCCAGTCATCATTCAATAATAAATTTGGTAATTCAATTTCTTCAAATGATGCCTTTTTTCTTATTTCATGTAATTCCCTTTCATTGAAAAGAGTTACGTAATTAGGATTATTAAGTAATCTAGATGCCAATCCCTCTAAATCACTTGTATTTATAATGTAAAGAATATAACGAGAGATACATTTTTTATCTACAGGCGTTGCTTTCTCCATAACACTATCAAGAGCCTATACAATAAATTTATTAAACACATAATTAATAGCTTTGTTTTAAATATTGTAATTAACTGTTTTAACAAATTTTACTTACCCAAAATAGCACATCGAGACCTTTAGCACCGGCTGCTTGTATTTCAGAGACATAATCTCCAAAAATAACACTTTCATTGAGTATATTGCGAACTAAATTCAAACATTGTATTTGCAATAATAAATCACGAGCTACAACAAGTTTTCTATTTACAGATCCTCCTTGAATATCCAATTCTAAATTATCCCTAAAGACTTTTGGTATCTCTCTTGACATATTATCAGTTTGTAAAATTTGTAATATATTCTAAAATATTATTTTCGTATTATACATATTTTACACAAATATTAAATAATTTTAATCATTAATAATGTATATATACCAAATATTGATCTTTGATCGATGATTGTAATTGCTGAGTTAGAGTGGATTTTACACCATCTACAGGAACTTCACAAGCTAAACAACATCCATCTAAAAATTCTTTTTGTATCTTGCAGTATGTCAAAGGTTCTGAGCTATCAAATCTGTAAAATATTTCTTTTGCTTGACAAATGTGGCTCTTTGCTTCTTGATATTCTTCCCGTAATAAATGAAATACAGCCAAATCATAATGTATCTGAAAAAATAATTTAAAAATAATATATCATAAACTCTAGTTTGTTAACATACAAATTATTTTTATATTTATCTGAATATATAATACCTGACATTTAACTTCTTCGATATTGATAGGATACATATTTTCCCACTTTTGTTTTATTTCTGTACTATCTTCAGTAAGCATTTGAAAAGTATCAAAAGACAGTGATTTCAAGTTTAAATCCGTTGATTGTAAGACTGCATTTAAAGTATTAACACTATTGGGTATATTTATCTCTAATTTTCTAATAATTTCATCCACTAAGCCTGGTGGTACATAAGTAGATTCCTGAATACCTGGTCTAAAAATATAACATTTACATGAATACATAGAAATATACAGATAGTATTTGAAAATGTTAAAATCTCACATATGAAGAAACTGCTGTTTTGATTGCTTATTATTTAAAGCTCTGTAAATAATTGCTCTTATGTGCCATCTGTGATATAAGATAATTGTAAACAGCGTTTGGTCAGAAACATTATGTATAGAGAAATCAGGAATAGCAGGTATTTCAACGATAGTGTCCGTTGTTATATAAAACAGATCTTGTAATAAAGTTACTTGTATTGGTAAAGGTAATTTCTTTTCCAATATATCTAAATTCCAATTTAAATGCGCTGCTACTTTCAAGGCAAGAATTTTCAATGCAAGATTTTTATGCGACCACTTAGTCGTACTAGATTTTGTTTCATTTACTTCTACATCTGTAGATTTTGTATCACTTTCCTTCTGATCCGAATTAATTGTTATAAATTTAATTATTAAATCAGTAGATGATGGGTCTACGAGAAAAAAGAATTCAATCAATGAACATTCATAAAATATTGTAATTTTTATATTCCATATTTGATTAATTACCTGGATTAGGCTTTGATAAATGTTTCTGTAGTAAAGAAGGATTTAATAAAAATTCAAACCAAAGAATTGTATCTGGTGAAATAGGAACTGTTCCTGGTCTTAACAAATCTACATCCATGATTTTTGTATTAATGTAAGTAAAAACAGATGTGTTTTGATACGAGTTACATTTACTGTAAAAACAAATACGCAGGTTAGATGCGTAATTCAAACCACTTAGTATGTAGTATGCACATACGTTCTATCCATTTTTCGTCGTAAATTAAAAAACTATATTCTTTTTTATTAACAATTTTATATATAAAATTTTTTATATTATATATATATATTTTTTAATAAGATATAATATACACGTAAAAATATTGCAAAAGATAAACAAGTCACATTGTTCTTCACTGATCCTTTCGAAGTAAATAATGCCTTCTTTGATTTTTTCTAACCTAAAACAGTATATTTAAATATATAAATATCACTTTATGTAGCAATACGATGCAGTAATACTTATTATTATTATATAAATATAATAATATAAATTTTAATGATTATAATATCGATATATGTGCATAAAATTAGTGAAATATGGGGAATGATATTAATTTATTAATAAAACAAGATTATGATAATAGTTTTGAACTTCACAAAACTCATGATTGGTCCATTATATCACATGACTTTTGGCGGTCAACGTAACGCTCGTTTGATCGATGGTTATGTTTCATTGTGATGCATTCATCGTGATATTTTAAATCGTTTTCAATTTTTCCAATAGTTTGAGAAAAATAAATAGATAATTATGGTAAAATTAACATCAAAATTTATCGAAAAGAAGTACGTTCAAGTTCAATCAAAATCCCTTAGTAAGGCAAATAAAAAACAAGAATTATGGAAGTTAACTCATTTGTACATGAATGGAATGTTTATCAATGAAATTGTAAGTTTATTTTTATAAAAATTATGAGACCATTTAATTATTTATATTTAAATATATAAACTTATCGCAGGGTAATTTTGCTGTGTGCAAAAATTTAAAAGTAATTTATCTTCAAGATAATAATATATCACGTATAGAAAATTTACACTTTGCAACACATTTAACACATTTATATATGCAACATAATAAAATAAGTAAGTTAGAAAATTTAGATTGCCTACAGAATTTGCGCAAACTTTATGTAGGATATAATTGCATTAGCGTAATTGAGGGATTAGAAAATCTAGAAAATTTAATAGAACTACATGCAGAAAATCAATCCTTAACTCTAGGCGAAACATTGTGCTTTGAGCCGCGCAGTGCTATAACATTATCTGTAAGTTATAACAAAATAATATGTTGCATGTTATATTATGGTCGTTAATTCATTATAATTATGTAAAAATATTTTGCAGAAATGTTTAAAAAAACTTAATATATCAAATAATAAAATGACTACTTTAACTGATATAGCAAATTTTAGTGAATTGGAAATATTGGAAGCGAAAAATAATTTACTTGAAGATATTGAGGATTTAACTCAAATAATAAGTACATTAATTTCACTTAAAGAATTATACATGAATGGTAATCCAGTTGCTCACAAACATAGATATAAGGAAAGCCTTATTGCTAATAGTAATACATTAGGTTGTTTTATTTTGTTTTTTGCATTTCTTAATAAATATAGCTGCAAATATTAATTTTTATTTCTTGTATACAGCAAATTTAGATGGGAAGAATATTTCTGATACTTGTCGCAGGTTTTTACAGGTTTTCAAAGAGAAACGTTTTAAGGAATCAATTAAAAAAATAACAGTACCGTTAACAGATGACATTGCAAGTACGTTTGTTTATTTCTTAAATATTTTTATCACATATATATATAGCAAATGTGTTAAATTATTATATATAATTTGATTATATACATATTTTCATAATCATAGATTCCTTGAATTTGCCTCCTGCATTTAAAAAATCTGTGTATAGAGCGATATTTCAACAACCTGGACCTAAATTATCTATAAAAGTTACATCTGCTATGGGAGAATTACAGCCTCACAGTTTTCCATTATGGAAAACAGGTAAAAATAATTAAGATAAATTGTTATTGCATTAATAATAAAATTCTTTTACTAGCTGCTGGTATAAACAGTCTAAAGAATAACCACGTAACTCCAAGACCATTTTGGAGAAATAAAACAAATGAAAAGGAAATATGTAAATTAAATGCTATAAATAACAAATCAATCATGTTTCCACCAATCTGATAAATGTTGGTAAAATCAATGATTAATATCGAATATATTTTGTTATACCTATTGACCTATATATTGGAATGTCTTAACAGCTTTAACATACATTTGTATAAAAATAAAAAAAGAATATGTGTAAATCAAAAAGAATATGATCATTTAAAAAAAGTGAATAATTTGTTATCAATTACAATAATACTTTTATATATTTTAGCACTAATACTACATTCGACTCATCAATAATCATCTATATATAACTTGAGAATTTAACTTACAATTAAATTTACTTGTGAACTAAAGTATAATATGGATAAGGTATAAAAAAAAGGAAATTGATAACTATAAGTATGTAGACATTGGTTCATTTCAAGGAAGGTATAATAACACTTTCATATGTATTCAATCTGTAATAATATAAATACATTTGAAATAAATGAACAACAGAAATATCAGAATGTAAACTTATATACTACATTTGTACGCTGCTTGAAGATCCATACGTAATCTTTTCAATTCGATTTATGTTAATTTAAATGCAACTAAACAATACAAAAACCAATGGTGCTTCAAACATTACACAAGTATAATAATCTAGAGTTTTTGCACTATTTTATTTAATATCATAAAAATAATTAATGCTAGACTGTAACATTGACACAAAAGCACATACTATTTCTAAGCTGAAATAATATATATAAACATAATTTTTTATAAGAAATTCAAAATAAATAATATTCAAATGATATATTTTTATATATATAATACACGATATTAGTTACTATAAGCATGGAATGTTAGACATAGTACGAAGTGACATTTTTTATGAAATAAGAACATAAAACAATGCAAATCGTTTAAAATTCGTTATATTTAAATAAATATATTAAACCTCTCAAAAAGAACTTTTTTTTATTATTTCCAAATAATTTTAAGAAATATTACACAATTTATCTATTATTTTAAAATTTTACGTCATGAAGTATTCATAAAATATTTAAACTAATTATGATTATGTTATGTGCTTCTGATAAATGCAATGTTAGTGCAGTAAAAATACATAATACAATACATTTATAGATACAAAGCATATTTTGTCTCGTAATTAATATTAAAGCAAATAACTTTTAGGATTTTTCTTAAAAAATAATAGCAGATAGCACATTCTTATAATTAAAGCATTTTAATTAGATTATAAATGAAACAAAAATAAATATCTTTATAGATAATTGAAACTGATACATTTATGTCAAAAATAAATATTTTCTTTTTAGATATATAGTTTGACAAAAATATTTTCAAAGACAACGTAGCATAAGATTTGTTGTTCGTCAATCATATTTTGAAGAATGAATATGCACATCTATAATAAAAGTATAAAATAAAAGTAACTTTTAAATATAACATAAAGCGGTTTTAAAAATATTTTCTTGCGTGGTATGTACATAAAAGCTAGAATATATAATATTTTTTTATAAGCCTGTAAAAGTATAAAAATAAAAAATTGAAAAATCTTTATAATTAATAATTATATAATGCTTGTAACACTGTATCATTTGTGCAAGATACATATTAACTAATAGCAAATTATAAACGATGTATTTTATATAAAAAATTTATACCATATATATTATTCCTTTATCAGTGTTAAATCAATAATTCTCTGATATACCGAAGGTCTGTAGCATTGAAAAAAAAAATCATATGTGAAAAAAATCAGCTATCCATTGATATGCATATCCTTATATACCAGATGTCACAGATCTTATATGCAAGTCTGATATAAATGTCAGTATATGCGAAATTGTGATAAATCCAGAAAAATAATATAAATTAAAAATTACATATAAACAGAAAAGTGAAACATTTTCTTTAATTTTGGTACTTAGTTGTATAACAAAATCGCAATTATTAAAATTCTAGAAGATGAAATTTGAAAATGAATATATTGTAAAATGTAGTTCTAAAACTACATAAGCTATAGCTAAATTTAGACATATACGCTGACCAATGCATCATTGCTGTTGGTGTTTCTTTATATAATGATCTATTAATCTCTATTAATATTTTAGTAATTATATCTTGTAAAGTAGAATGTGGAAATCTGCACAGTTTCCAAAACTGTGGTGTCCTTAATACACCAACGATATTAATAAATGAAAATTAATTAGCACTTTTAATAATATACTTTCTTCCTTTGTATATCACTTAACACTAACACTGTAGGATTGGAAACTTTGAAGATTTCAATTGTCCTTGTAGTACAGCACAATAATACATAGATATATATGTATAGATAGCTGAACGACCAGGATATATTATTATACTTACTGTTATTATTTCGACCAAACGAGTTTTACTCGATATCATTTGGGAACTAACAATATTTTCATTCTATTATACTGTAGTTTTCCCATCTTCATTTTCTACAGCAACCTTTCTTTTGCTTCAGTTGTAACACACACACGAACATACGTATATAGCAATTAAGCTAATTTCATTTGCATTTAAGCTGTTGAATGGATATTACACGTGTATTTATTACTTATCACTTACAAATTTTACAGAATATTAGTGAGAAACCTTGTATGCATGGAGTAATCAAAAACTGTATATCTTGTAAGTAATTATGCAATACTATCATAAGATTTTTCAAATTTTTGAATGAATCTGTACTATATAGACCATGCTCAAGGGTTAATCAAACGATATAGAAGTCAAAAGTATGACAATGCATTAATAGCAGAATTAGTGACTTTATACACTTTGAAATTAGTAATATCATTTTGCAAAAGCTATCTTGTTTTCATATATGAAAATTATGAATAGATGACATAGATTTTTTTCTTTTTTAATTCAATACTTAAAATTATCAAAATTTTTATCTGAAGGGCACTCTGTCCTCTTTTCGTAAATATTAATGGCTTACTCATTTGTTTATATACATACATATCTATGTATATGTAATATGTATAATAAATATCAAGGTATGTGCATACATATACACTCTTAATTATCTGAACATGAACACGATTGTTTATGGTATAAGGTACTACGTTTCATACAAAACTTTATTAATGACTTTTCTTCTTTTACTAATGAACTTGATTTACAATCAAGTTTCAACTCATATAATTGGGTAAGCTTTAAAAAGCAATTTCCCAAATCTTTTAAGAAAGGCATCATAATTAAATGAATAATGTACGCAAGGGCTTATTGACGATAATTCAGTCTGACGATTATGCATCTGAAAGATGCATAATAGTATGCAACATGTAGTAAATGCAAACTCGTATCTTCATATTTTTTTTGCTCTGAAGATACCATAGCTTTTCAGACAGAGTGCCATATAATTATAGATTCTATTTTAGAAGAGGTTACTGTGCCATCTGTTGTTGAATTTCTATTTTTTCAACAGTCATATCAGGATTTGTTGCAGCAGCCTCTTGAATAGCTTCTTGTAGAGCCTTATCATGATCAATCGGATCACCATCCGATTGTATTGTTATTTTTTGTTCTACTCGTGTTTCTACCACACCATCTCGTTCAGTTTTATACTATAAAAAGAGAATTAAATAAATACACAAAGATCTATTTATTACAATGTAATAATAAACAATTGTTATGCTTACAGTTATTGTTTCAACAGTACGAGTTTTACTTGATATCGTTTGGGAACTAACAATTTCACCCGTTGCACTGTAATTCCCATCTTCACTTTCTAAAGCAACTTTTCTTGTTTCAGTTGCAACTAATGGAACTGTTGTAGTAGTTGTAACATTACTATCAGGCTCTCCGGTATAGACATGTGTTTCAGTTGCTACTATATTTGCAGGATCACCCTGTATGAAATTAATGTTAATCGTTAAATGTCAATGTTAAAAAATTAATTAGCGCTAAATTATTATACATATACATATATTAGACATAGTATATTAGTAACACATATTTTTATATTATACCAACATACAGAGAAATTATCAACAAATGATTCCATACAAATAATTTATTTATGAATTTGTTCTCTTTAAATTGACAATAACACATGCACATTTCTTTATAAATAATATTAAAAAGATTATTTTATTTTAGGGATCCTCTTATACAAAAAATATGATTATCAATTTTTTACTCTTTGTATAACAATAGAAATCTAACAGTTATCAAACCTGAACACAAACAGCAGTCAAGATAATAATTGTCAAATTATTTTTTTTTTTATAAATACAATAAAGTAACTTATATAAATTGTTCATTTGATAAATAGAAACGTTATAACTAAACGTTGTAAATTACCTGATAATATTGATTGTAGAATGCTTGTTGGTCATCATCAAGATCAATTGGTGTACCTGAATCTCCGCTGCTTGAACTAGATGTACTGAGCCTTCGTGAGAACAGCTATTTCATGCAACGTGTTAGCCAAGCCGCCAAAATTAATTATGATGTAACAAAAAAAAAAAAAAGGAGAAAAAAATTGAATCAAATGAAAAATGGCATGATTTAAATTATTGTTAAAATAGCTCAACATTTTGCATAAAATAAAGGATAATTCTTTCCCATGTAAATTATAATTTCATCATATGCATACATATATACGTATGTATTCGTAGAGGATTTTATACACATACTATTCTAACTAATTGTAAGTTAATATATACCTTCTAATTGTTTTTGAACACAATCGTTAATTCCTTTAACTTGATGAACAGAAATTAGTATAAAAAAAATTCGTATGGAAAATATTCACATTTAAAGAAATACTAAAATTAATGGCTAAAAATAATAAATAATGTTTAGTACCTCTCTCAATGTAATTAATTAAATTTTTTTTAACTACATTTATATTATTATAATATGGTTGTGCATAAATGTATATACAATAAAAAAAAAAACTGATATTTGCATTAAACGACGTTAGTTAAAATTCTAAATTGTGCACATAATTGTCTACATGCTTTGAATGAAGTTTTTAAGCTTACACAGATGAATAATTAAATATTAAACTTTATTTTACCTGTTCACCCGAAAGTACATGACTTGTAGTCCGAACTTCTTGTGTTACTACTCTTTGCTCTTGTCTTGTTGTACTGGTTGCAGTCGAGTATGCTACAGTCTTTTCTTCTACCTAATGTAAAAAAGCAAATTATAATATAACATAAAGTAAAGCATTGATAAAAAATGTGAAATGTATGATTGCAAATTATTTTAATACTTAATATACTGATAATTTCTAATTAGCAAAAAAGAATAATTTATATCTCGTATTATAGAAAATTATAATATAATCAGTGATTTACAAACCTGACTCGTTTTCTGATTTTTTTCAAGATCTTCATGCATTGTTGCAGTACGTGTAGTAACAGCTGTTGCTGTCATGTATGGGGCTCTACCATCATCTGGTGCTTCTGCCTACATATAACTACAATTTACTAATAGCTCTAAATACATTTCATGAATAATTAGGGCATAAAGATTATGATTAATAAGATCTGTCATTAAATATAATAAAAACAAACCTGATTTGTTTTTTGATTTTTATCATGATCTTCATGCATTGTTACAGTACGTGCAGTAACAGCTGTTATATATGGGGTTCTACTATCATCTGGTACTTCTGCCTATATACAACCGTAGTTTTACAGATGATTTCACATACATTTAACAAATTATAAAAGCATGAATATTACAATACAATAACTAAAGCATAACGATCACAAACCTGGCTTGCTTTACGATTTTTTTCAGAATCTTCAAACATTGCTGTAGTGCGTGCAGTAACAGCTGTGATGTAAGGGATTTTACTATCATCTAGCATTTTTTCCTACATACAATTATAGATTTACAAAAGATTTTATATGCATTTAATATATAATAATAAGATGGAAATTATAATGCAACAATGAAAGCGAGACAATTACAAACCTGATTTTCTATTTGACTTTTTTCAGAGTCTTCATGCATTGTTGCAGTACGTGTAATACCAGCTGTGGTTGCAATGTATGGAACTTTACCTTCACCTGCTGCCTCTTCCTACATAAAACTACAATTTCATTGTGGATTCTAGATACATTTAACGAACAATATATAAGCACAGAGTTATAATAAAAACATTAAAGCATGACAATTACAAACCTGGCTTTCTTTCAGGCTTTTTTCCAAATCTTCATGCAATGCTGCAGAACGTGTAATAACAGATGCTGATGTGTAAGATGTTTTACCATCTTTTGTTACCTCTGCCTACATAAAACTATAATTTTACTATGGATTCTAGATATATTTAACAAACAATATAAGCACAGAAATTATAATAAAAACATTAAATTTTAATGATCACACACCTGACTTGCTTTTGGACTTTCTCCACGATTATCATGCAATGCTGCAGAACGTGCAGTAATATATGATGACGTGTGAGGGGTTTTACCGTCATTTGGTACCTGTGCCTACATAGAACTACAAGTTTACTGCGGATTCCACATACAATTAACGAACAATATAAGCATGAAAATAATAATAACAATATTTAAATAAATATAATCACAAACCTGATTTATTTTTGGGCTTTTTTCAAAACCTTCATGCAATGCATCAGTGTGTGCAGTAACAGACGTTGATGTATATGGAGTTTTTTTATCATAGTTTGATGCCTCTGTCTATATAAAACTAACATTTTACTCTGGATTCTAACATATTTACTTAATAACAAAAGCATAAAAACTATAATAAACAAAAACTAAAGCAGTAAGAATCACAAACCTCACTTATTTTGGGACTTTTTTCAAAGTCTTCATGCATTTGGGTTGTGCGTGTAGTAACAGTCCTTGTTGCCATATGCGAAGCTTTACCGTCATCTGAAGTTTCTCCCTACATATAACTACAATTTTACTAAAACTACTAAATGCATGTAATGCAAAAATATGAAGATTGGAATATAAAAATGAAGTTTTAGTAATGGTTATGATATTAATTGAAATTACTATTAGTTTTAGTATTTTAAATTACACGTTATTTAAATTATCAATTTTGAATAATTATACAATGAGACAGTGACTATTACCATTTGAAATAATTCCAATATTTTTGAAGTTACTTTATCCTGTATATGTATGTTACTTATTGATAGTTGGAATTATGTTGAACAATTACTATCGTATTCTTTAAGCTTATATATACAATTAAAAATACTATGCATAATATATGCATAAAAGATAAAAGTCACATGACAAAATATCACATTTTTGTTATTCTTATGATTCTTTGTTTTATAATTCTGATAGATTACCATATTATACTCTGTGATAAAATAATATTTTTACTTTATTAAAATTATTTGTACGCGCGCGCGCTTGTGCGCAATGAAATGTTTTTATTAAGAAATATTATGAGATATTATGACATGAAATGGATATCTCTTTATGAATGAATAGTAAATAATACATTTTGTGCATGATGCATTGTTGTAAGTAGAATGAAAACGGGAATTATTTGTTAGTTATTCAATAATAACAACAGATTATCTTTTGTTTAGCATAAGAAATAGAATATAAGAATTTGAGCTGCAATGCAGCGTGCATGATTTCATACCTGAGAAGAATCTTTTTGACTAGGTAGTCTATAAGTTGCAGCTTTTTGTTGTTCTTTAAGACCAGCTGACTCGACGTAATTGAGTCCAGGGGTTTTTATTCCAGCTTGTTGTAGTTTATCCATGTCTTTCGTTTTCCTTTTTTCCACCGATTCTACTACTTTTTTCTCTTCACCTGGAGCATAATTAAATGCTAAGCCCGTTGCTTTGCGACTAGCTGCAGTAGGAGATTGTTGATCTCGTACACCTGGAGATGCTGGTCTGTCTTCATAAGAGAATCCATGAGGCGTAAATGGTTTTCTTGTAGATGAGGTTTCTGTTTCTTCGTAGTCATACGGTTTTGTATAACCTGGACGATCAGAGTTCATAGCAGAATCTCTTGATTTATTATCCGTGCTTAGTTTTTCCCGTAATTCTTCCGCTATGTCTTTTCCCAATGTTGAAACATCTGATTCTATTTCATGTTTTTCTATCGAGTCATCTAAATCTTTCTTTTTTTGCTTCTTTTTAGATTTTTCTTTTTCCTTTTCTTTTTGTTTCTCTTTCTCTTTTTGTTTCTCCTCCTTTTCTTTTTGTTTTTCTTTTTCTTTTTCCTTCTGTTTTTGTTTTTCTTTCTCTTTCTCCTTTTCCTTCTCTTTTTTCTTATCCTTTTCTTTGTCTTTGTCTTTATCTTTATCTTTATCTTTGTCYTTTTCCTTCTCTTTCTCCTTTTTTTTCTCTTTTTCTTTGTCCTTCTCCTTATCTTTATCTTTGTCCTTCCCTTTGTCCTTTTCTTTTTCTTTTTCCTTTTTTCCAAAGAGGAAACCAGCAACAGGACTCTTTTATAATAAACAAAAACATGCAATACAAAATAGCTTACATGCTGCATCTATCAAAATAATCTATACATAAATATATATATTTATGAAATACTAATCGTTCCAATTTCTACATATCACAACTATATCTTTACAAAAAATTCTTATTGACAAACATGCATGTATGAATTATAAATAAAATAAATATTTTAATAATTTCATATAATAGCAATATTGCGTGATAACTGTTATTCATATTCTATCATTTTTTATACTTTAATAATAGATCAGAGTTTCAAATATAAGATTAAGAAATCTTTTATAGCATTTATTATGAAATAAATATAAACAATAAAATTCAATATTTAGAATGTATTCAATTGCATATCAACATTAATAATGAAATTATATTGAAATTTATTTTAGTATAAAAATATATAATCATTATAGTATTTTCCTTTTTTTAAATTTACGATATTGACATTGATCAAATAAAATATAATAAGTTAAAAATGAAGTATCATCGGCAAGCAGTAAACTTACCTTAATTTTTTCTTTCTTTTCTTTGTCCTTCTTTTCTGGTGTTTCCTTGTCCTTTTTCTTTACATCTTTTTTATTGGGTGATTTCTCATCGTTGTTATCAAGAAGAGCATTATCATTAATTAAATTAGAATTGTTCAGATCATTATGGTTTTCCTTCTCGTTTTCATTTTGTTTATCCTTCTTCTTCTTAGAAAGACCACCGGGCGGTAGGACTGCAATTCCTCCGACCGGTTTCTACAAGTAAAGTGATACAATCACACGTCTTTTCATGCAACAAGCATAAAGCAACTATAAATAATGAAGCTAAAAATAAAGCATATATCACACTACAATTTTTTCAGCACAAATTGCATGCTTCACAAATAATTACGGTCTGCGCTCTCAAGAATTTTTAGTTTGCTGTTCTGGTTACAACTGTTTCACATATTGTATTGTTGTGGCTAATTCTATAATCAATAAATGTTAAATAATGGATTATTTCGATGTTATAAATATGTTAATGAAATCTCTTCTAATTAATCATGCTTTGTAAAGTACTGAGATACCTATATAACTATGAATTTTGTTAATATTGAGGCGTTGGCCGTATTATCTTCAGCAAAGCTGTGAATGAGAGTCAGCGGCATGCATAAAAGAAATGAAAACATTAGAAAATCATCACACTGTAGTGTAATTACAATTGTAATAAAACAGTGCAATTGAAGAACAACATAAATGAAACTTTATACCTTTTTGGTACGATCCGCATCATACTCTCCTTCCAGGCTACTGGTACTGCTAGCAGATGTTGTTCCAGCACTTGTTTTTCGTGTGAGCTATTGATGTTAGTTATTGTGTGAATTAGTTATTATAGGTGAAGCATTATATTCTGTATATCAGACGCAATTAACTCTTTTGAAATAAATTATTATATATACGTTTATTACACGTATATATTTTATAATACTATATATAATTACTTCGTAAAGGAATATTGTATAATACTACAAAGAATATAAATGTTTCAAAAAACCAGTAATGATAAAATAATATTTCTAATATTTCTAAAAGAACAATGCTAATGTTTTTAGATCATTGAATTTGAATGTTGTATTTAAACTTGGGCAAATTTTAATATGCAAAAACTGAACGCTTTGATACATCCATCCATGTCTAATACATGGTATACAGTGCTAACATGCTGTTGCTTAATGTAATGACCGATTATTAATATGGATGTAGAGGTGCATGGTGATCAATTAAAACATTACAACTATACATTCTCTTCAGCTATTAAAACACGTTATGTTATACATTATCTTACTTCTATGAAACAATTGTGTTCTACAGCACTTCTCCTAGCAATATATATTTAAAAATAAATACATTGCTTGTGTTACTTGATAATAAACTTCATAGATTATTTGTATTAATCTGGTTATTTGAAAGCGTAGACCGCAAATCGAAGTAAAAAAAAATATTTGTTTTTATTGTATAAATTAAAATCCACGTAAATTAAAATCATTGAAACTTTGCATGATTAACTCATGCAAAATCTACAATCTATATATACCTAAGGATAGACTAAATTCATTTAATAGATGTAATAATAATAAATGAAATAAATGTTACCTTCTCCTTTTGTTTTTTAATAGGACTAGGCCGTTGATCAATGTGTTCCATATCAGGAATCATTTCGGGCTCGTAACTCATAGTATGGCGTTTACTTGGTTCCGAGCCGTAAGTTTCGACTGGTTTAGGACCACCTAAGGCTGCATTAAATTACTTTATTTTAACATCTATTTCATTTGATTTTTAATAATATTTGGTATTTCGATAAAATATTAATTAAGAATATATATATATATATATATAAGAAATTTATTGTACCATCCATGCTACGTGACGTTAGACGTCGGCCACTTAGAGACCTCTCAAATTGAGGAGGTTGCCTGTCTATAGGAGTCTTTTTCGTTTCATAATGTGTTCTCCCAGAATATCGGAAACGAGACCCTAAATGTGGTAATAATCCTACTTTCTTTACAGGCTCTGGACTCATGAGTCTGTAAAAATAAACAAATATATATTTTTAATCTGTTATAGTCAAGTGTACAAAGCGTAATAAAAGATAAATGAATTAAATGTATAGGCCATAAAAGTATCGAATGTTTTACCTGAAGAAAGTATGATGTTCTACACAGACCTTCCACAATTTTTTAGCTGCTCTATGATTCGCAAGTTTAAAACCAATCGTGGATTCAAATTGCTCGAATTCACCAGGCCGTATTTTTATAAAAAAGTTATGCCTCTTGTAGGAGATCTTCAAAATTTTCGGCCATGCAAACCTGTTTATTCTTAATCGATCACGATAAACAAGAAGACCCGATGAACAGACACCTAACATTATATCAACGCCTTCTGAATCTTTCGCAGGATGTAAATCAACTCCATACATAGCTAATTTCTTTGCATTTTCTAAATAGTGGAGTTCTGCTTCGGCAGGAGATTGCCCTCTGTAAAGATATTAAACGTTCATTTAATAAAGTTTCATTTTTATCTTTTGTAAAATACAAATATTTTTAGGAGAATTAAATGTGATAAATTTGTTTAAAAAAATATAAGCAGCAGATACGGACTTATGTGTTTTATGAAGATCCATAACTTTCTCTACTAATTCTGGCGTCTGATTGGGGGCAAATTTAAAATCCTTCAAATATGTTCTACCATGTTCTTCTGGGTCATAATCTCCAATTTCTGACTGAACTAGGTAAGATCCCAGAAGTGCGTGGGTCACGAAAGAACATGGTAAACGCTCTTTTATAATATCGTTTCTAATTTGTAAACATAATTGATATCGCGTAATATCTTCTTGTAATTGAGCTGGATCCGGAGGATAGAACTTCACCTCGAAACTAAATTTCCAGGGTTCGTCTGTGAAAGATAACAAAAATTGCAATTAAATGTCATAATTGTTTAATTTTGAATTTTTTAAATTACGAATTATTACTCACTTTTGACAAATTTGACAATTCTTTTATCTAGATCCAACCAGTTTCTTGAATCATCTTTGTCCTCATAGACAAGACCAAAATAATCTTTCTCGAGTAGATTCATACTTTGACATATCAAATCAAGGAGCTCTTGCCCTTTGGCTTTTCTCTGTAAAATGATTCAAATAGATGTTAGATATTTTAATTGATTTTATTCATTTATATTGTTACTTACATCGATATAAAAATCTTTTACGGTGCCATCCAGTAAAGTGATTTTCGCCAAAGCCATTTTTCCTTTACTAACTGGACTTTTAGTTGGCGAATTAGTTCCGGTGCCATTTTCCGCCGTAACTTCGGGAGGTACCGCGGCAGATTTTTGTTCTTCCGGCATGTTTCAGCTTTATTCTGAAAAATTCATTAAACAAAAATTCTAATTCAGAGACAATCTTTATTACTGTAAATAATATTTATTCATTTTATATGTATCTATTTAATATTGAGCGAAATACATTTTCGTGCAATATCTTTTTATATAATTAACTCTTTTCAATATTATTTAATTAGAATGGTAAACAATTATATTTTTCAATGATCTTATCGACAATGAGTCGATGTCAAATAAGAATACAAAAAACATTTGGTATTTGTTAGAGATATTTAAGTATAGATCCCGTCTAGACTAGAGGGTGCTTTGTAGAGAGAAATAATCAATATTTGTGAGAGTTCTCTTGAATTGAATGTATGGTTCAGGCACCTTAGGGGATAAATATTGCACCGTTGTGACTTCGACGACGAGAAGAAAAAAAGAAATTATTCGCTTGGGAAAAGTTTCTTTACACAAAATCACCGAGCTTGTATTTGTGTAATAATTAATGAGAGACCAAGAGAGACGAGAATATTCATTCAAGAAATCTTATCGATTTCTCTTTTGTAATTCGATGAAATGTGAAATAACTATAAAATTGTAAGAGACGTATATACGTTATAATACATTTTTATAGATTATTAAACTATTATTAAAGTTTCCTTATCTCTCTCTCCTCCCTCTCTTTATTTCCTTCTGTCTTTCTTTCTTGAATCTGCTCGCAATACTATACAATCGTTTCTTTACTACGGGTCATTGGCCTTTTTTCAAGATGCCAGGTATACGTTCAGTGTATATATATGTTATGTACAATACATACGCGAGTATACTTAACGTTTTAATGAAAATATAATATAAATTTAATGAGACAAATTTCATAATACTATTCCTCTAATGTGATAACTACGTTCTCGTTTGCGATTTAGAAAACTCTTAAATGATTGAAAAGAAACGACAAAATAGAATAATCAACAACGTGACCGGATATCACATTTTAACTTCAATCATCGTTGATCGATATCCTGTCGTTACGTGTGTACACGTACGTAACTTAACAAGTAATGAATTAACTGCAAATACAATTATATTGTAATCATCTGTTTTTTGTTAATACCTTCAACGAGAGCATATTTTTTTTTAATAAAAGTTATTTGGTTGAGACGAAACCTAAATGTTACTAACGATACCATACAATTGTAAATGATTTATAAAATTTATAAATAAATATAACAAAAAGTAAATATTAAAAACTATATCGTTATAATAATTCTATATGAATAATCATATCATTGCATTGAGATTTGATATGATTACTATTCGAATAGAAAAACAAGAATAAATAGACGAGGAAAATAAAAATGCCCTTACGAGTTCTAACGCGGAAGAACAAATCTAGCGGTATATCAGTGTCTTGTGTGCGGCCAACTCCGTACACACCGTGTTCGATAATGTTATATACGTATTACATTACCGCGGTGTAAATCCTTAAAAATAAGCAATTGCACGAATTCATAGCAAACCACGAAAGGGAGAAAGAGATCCTATCTATCAGAATTTTCGATATCGTTTTTTTTTTATCGTCATATCCGACTTTCTCTAAATAGATCTTTTTCTAAAATAGATTTAAAATTAATTGAAAATGTATATAATGTATAATTTTTTTATATATTGATATTCTGTTTAAGAAAATATATAATATATATTATGTGTATTTTATAACATGAAAATTTGAAATATTGAAATTAATTAGTGAAATAATACAAACTTAAAATTATTTGAAAAATAATAGTGTATGCATTATCGGATAAGGTCAAAAAGATAGAAATAGTTAGACTAACGACTTATTAAATAAATATTGTGAAATATTTAATAAATGGCGCAATTAATTACAAATAATACCGTGAAATTATGAAATCACCGTCACTAATTTGTTGTTCGGTATTAGCAAACAATTCGTTGATTTTAACATTGTTGTTATTTATAAAATTGTCACAACCCGTTCTTCCTTTGAACAGATATGCAATAATTTGTTCTGAAACAAAAATTTAATTCAATACCGGTTTATTTTTATATATATATAATACGGATCTTTTTTTAAGAGGATTTACAATAAACTGTTAGGAGAACGGAGACACTTAAAATGTCGTCATCACTGGAAACGGGCGTCCTTTGCGTTATTCTCTTTGGCAGCAAAGACGATGAGGCAATACGCCGTGTGTGGATCAACGACGACGATGACGTGATAAGTCTCATAGATTGAATGTATCGTATAAGCGATGACCTTGTTGAAACTTATCGATGAGTTAAAATATTTAACAAATAAAATATATATATAAAATTTGTACAAATCTAATCTATCCATTGATGGTTCTCTTCCTGTCTGTTTTTCTGTTTTTCTTTTACTTGAAAAAGTTTAATGATATGGAAATAGAGTCGATCGTATCTTATCATATCGATTTGTACTTAAACGTACTATAAATGCGTTAAAATTATTAAGCTCACGCGAATCTTCTAGCTACGATAAGATTAAACTATTTTAGTCCTAAGGTAATAGTCAATCCTTGAAGCTTTTCTTCCTCGAATTTCTCGTAAATCCAATGTGTTAGTATGTATATATCGTATATCATTAGTTGCTTTCTCTTTGTTATAGCCTACTAGTCATGTTCCGCCACTTTTATCGAACGAAAGTTAACTGACATGTAAGAGAAAAAGTGGAAGAACTATAGTCAAGAATATGACAAAAACAAACATACATACATACATAAGAATATTTATACCTTTTTACAAAGAGACATTTCTTTTTTAGACGTTCAATATGTTTGATGAAGGTGATAAAACGATGATGAAGTTAAAAAAAAAGAAAGTTACTTTTTTGTTACTTACTCAAGAAGTAGCTAAAGGCATTTTTTTTTTGTTAACACGTTCGTCCCAGATCTAAGAAGAAAATAAAACCAACTCAACGGTCGATAGTAGTTTCGCTGACGGGTCGATTTAAAATTTAAAGGGCCTCATGAAAAGGGACACTTAGGGCTTGGGCAGCGTTGAAAGAATCTTCTTCTCTCGTTGCAAGCTTCTTTCAGAGGCGCGTGGGTTCCATTTGGTCGTGTGTCAAAAGGGCTGATTGTAAACGAGGGTCGCGTGATCCCTGGCACACGCCTACACACGCACACTCACATTATTAACGTCGGTGTCTTCCATACTTCTTTCTTTCTCTCTTTCTCTCTCTCTCTCTCTCTCTCTCTCTTGTTCAATCGTCGTCTTTTCCTTAGTGCACCAGCACTAATGAAAGAATTTATGTCTTATGAGACACCACGTTGCCGGTGGTATTATCTTCGATGATCGTATATAAATTATTCAAACGTTAAGTGTCTCGATTGAGTTACGACTTTATACTATTCGATACCATTTAAATTTTTAATATAATGTCAATAACTTTGGTAGTTAGAAAATTACAATATATAACACATATAATTAACCTTTTAATTGTGTCGTTAGAACAAATACAGAATAAAATATGCAACTCCTGTAACATTGAATTGAATTGTAAAGTAATAAAACTTGATTTTTTGGTAAATTATTATCAACTGATAATCTAAAGACAATAATTAATCCTTAAAGAAAAAGTAATTTTAAGCATGTCTCCGACATTAAAAAACATTTTTATTTTTCTATTTCTTTAGACAAAAATTGTATTCTTTCAAGAATTTATTTTTTTTAAATTAATCATTTGAAACAATAGATAGAAAATTAAAAAATAAATGAAAAAAATGTAGTCGTAAATTTGTAAATATTTTATATAAGTCACACACCACCGTATGGAATGTTTTGCAAATGATTTTTTTAATTTATTATTTTTCTTTTATTTCGTCATTATCTCAAAAAATTTCAAAGCATGTAAAATTTAAAAATACCATTTGATTATCATAAAAAAATTGAATTTAAATAACATATAGTAATTATTATTCTGATATGACAAATATACTTTTCATTCACAGTTAAAAGGTTAATGGTTAATATAATTTTTTGTAAACATTTTAATGTTTAATGCCGTAACATACGTTCAACTCTTTGGTACATAATCAAATAAAAAATACAAATAAATTATTTGAATCAAAATTATAATAATACAATTTTTATCAATATCTTTCCACATTAATATTACCTTTTCATTCAATTTTTATTTACAATCGTATATTATAAAGTAATAAAAACGTCAGAATAATGTGATGCCGTACAAATCTCATGGAAGTATTATACTATTTATTAACAGCAATGTTGATAGACTAAAATGAAAGGCTAATGAGACTTCCGATAGACAGATATATTCGCTCGAGATTATTTTAATTATCTCATTATATATTCTCGTTCATATTAATCGAATGAAATGTGATAAAATGTGATATGCATCGATCAAATAATTGAATATTTCATTTTGTCTTCATACCCATTTACGAATTATTATAATTACATAAAAAAGTTAAAGAATTTATTAAATTTGTAACATATAGTTACATTGTATAATGCAGACGAGATAAACCAACTGAGAAAAAATCAGTTCAATGCAATGAATTGCAGTCACATGCGTATTATACATCCATATTCACATCTACATATATGTATATACTTTTTTACATACATACATATATACTTATATACATGCATAAACATACGTTAGTATGTATACATTTATATACATATTATACACATATATATATATAAGTATATATAGTATGTATTTACATACATAATAGATACGCAGACAGAATTTAAATGCAACGACGTCGTCGTCAAACTACAATCCAAATTACGATGCGAATAAGAGCATAGTCGACACTCTTCGAATAAAGGAAAATCCGCATCACCCAGTAATTAGTTCTTCGAGCTTAAATGCAATGCCTCATCATTCCCTGATTTAATTGCGTCGATGATGAAATGCGCTTCGAAGACAATAGATGCGGTTAAATTCAAATGCAACGTCGCGAAATATCGAAAGAGACACCGAGAAAGTTTTAAGATTAAACGAGTTTCATGTTTCATCAAA